AGTGGTACCCATGCATACGGTCACTCATCGATGCCAGGAAAGTAACCCTGTCCTGAGTCCAAGGGGAGAGGGCAACTGGAAGTTCTGCATTTGGTACTTTCCCAGACTCCGCCCTACGTGCTTTTTGCCTTGGCTCATTTTAATATTTTAAAGATTTTTAAGTCCTATTGATTTTAATCCTTTCCCTATGGTAAACTGTAACTGTGAATAGAACAGCTTTCAGTGAATCCTGTCTTTTTAACAAATTATCCAACCTCAGTATGTTTTGGGACCCCCCTGGTGTCATAAGGGAGGATGAACTTGTGCACTGTTGATCTCTTTTCTATTACGTTGTTTATCTTGTTTAAAAATTGATCTGTAGACGTTCTGATGTATTCTTGATGTTAACCATTTTTTGTTGTCAAATGCATGGCATATATCTGTTCCCAATTTCTTTTTTTTTTTTTTTTTTGCTGTCCATTGATGAATGAGAAGATTTTTATTTGATTGAAAGTCTCAATCTTTATGATTTTAGCATGCTTTCTTTAAATCTTATTTAAAGATTTCTTTCCTACCCGAATTTCAAAAACACATTCTCCTACAGGAAATAAACATAGAAACATTTTGTTTTCCACCATTAGGTCTTTAATTCTTGTCGGGTTTGTGTGTTTGGTGTGAATTAGGAATCTCTATGGAAGAGAATTCGATTTAGCTGGAAATAATAGTCACTTGAAAAAACAGTGGCTCACAAATATTGCACTAGGGCATTTATCTTATCCTATGGTAATCAAATATCCCAACACGATTTATTTATTAATACTCTATCCTTTATCCAGTTATCTGCAGCATGGACTTGGTCATGTATCAAGTGTCTACATATGTGTATGTTGGTTTCTGGGCTCTCTATTCTGTGTGTATCTGTATCTTGTCAATTCTACGCCATCTTAATTACTATGGCTGTATTCTGCATTTTGACATCACATAGAACTTCATGCCTCTTGTGCTTCAGGAATGTTTTAACTGTTCTTGACTTTTTGCTCTTCTATATAAATTTAATAAAAAAATTTTTGGGGGGGCGGGGGAGCTAATTAGGTTCACTTACTTATTTTTAGAGGAGGTACTGGGGATTGAACCCAGGACCTCATGCATCCTAAGCATGAGCTATACCCTCCCCTTCTACGTAAATTTTAGAAACAACATTTCAAGTTCCATGAACAATTCTGTAAGAATTCTGTTAGGTCAATTTGGGAACAACTAACATTTTTAGGATAATGAGAATTTGTCTTTATCAATATATATCTACATTTATCAGGTCTTATAAATATTTCTTTAGTAAAGTTGTATGATTTTCTCAAGTTTAACACATTAGATTTATTCCTGGGTTTCTCTTAAGTTTTATTCCTCTTACAAAAGATTTTTAAATTAGGTTTTCTATTTATTAAGGGTATGTAGAAATGCAGTTGAATTTTGAATATTGATATATTCAGCAACTTATGTTATTAATTCTAAGAATTTGTCTCTAGCTTCTTTTTGGTTTTCTATGTAGACAGTTATGGCATATGTGACAAATAAGTTTCCATTCTTTTCTAATTCTTACACTTTTTGTTTGTTTTATTGTGGTTTTGCACTGGCTAGAACTCTGGTGTAATGTCCAATATTAGCAGTAATCAGACAATGAAACTGCAGTGTGGTAAGAAAACATGGTCTGTATGAACGTGGGTCTGAAATATATTGAGATTTAGTTTAAGGGATAATATATGGTTAATGTTTTATATTCTTGAGGATATGTTTTTAATTATTGTTCTGATTTGCTCATTATATCAAGCTTATGTCTGTTGTTCAACTACTCTTTATCGTTTTTAAAAACATTTTTATTTGGAGAGGGGAGGTAATGAGGTTTTTTACTTACTTATTTATTTTAATAGCAGTCCTGGGGATTGAACCCAGGACCTTGTGCATGCTAAGCATTTGCTCTACCACTTGAGCTACTCTCCCAACTGATTTTTATCCTTAATTATTATTTTATTTATTTTACTTGCTTTATCCATCAATGAAGCTGATCACCAAGATGACCATATAATTTACAGTCCAAACCAGAACATTTGAGATTAAAAAAAGACAATAATTACATAATTTCTTGAAATACTAATTGACTAACAATTGTTTCTGTATGAAGGGAACTATAATATTCTACTCAGACTATTTAAAAAGATTTCTAACCATTTTGAAATTTTTTATATTGATTATCTGAACTTTAAAAAAATGTAAGTCAAATAATTATGCTTAACCCGTATTTATATACTTGAGTCCATTTCTAATGTCTCTAATGCCATGTCATTGGTATTTTTATGAAAACTGTATTTTTCAATGTTTTTTTTTAATTTGTATATAAAATTCTCTGCAACCTCAAAGTTATATTTTATAGTTAAATGACTTGAAGTTGTAGTCTTCTTCATTTGATTCTTATTCTGTCCACACTTCCAGTTGAGAATATTCTATCTCTGCAGGTACTAAGGTACCTGGTCAGCTCAGGACAAGTTTTGTTAAACGAAGGGCATTTTCAAATCAGTTTCTTTCATATAAAAAACAACTATTTCAACATTCTTCAGATACTGTATTTTGCTTCCACTCAGAGTGCTTTCCTTTAACACATAATTTTTACAAGATGAAATTCACCAAATAAATTCTCCACTTTTTTGAATGTTTCACCAAATTTTGATGCTATAAAATCACAGGCCATTTTATTCCTTTTTTTCTTTTTAAAAATTTCATTCCTTTCTGATGAAGATATCAGTTTTACCCAATTAAGAATAGGAGCTCTACACTGTATAGCACAGGGAAATATACACAAAATGTTATGATAACTCAGAGAGAAAAAAATGTGACAATGAGTGTGTATATGTCCATGAATGACTGAAAAATTGTGCTGAACACTGGAATTTGACACAACATTGTAAAATGATTATAAATCAATAAAAATGTTAAAAAAAGATAAAAAAAGAATAGGAGCTCTATCATAAGTTCAGAAATTGTAAAGCAGAGTTACAGAATTTAAAAATTAAACCTTTTATCCTATTTGAGCTTTTAATTATTTATTTTGTTTAGCTTTCTTCTTTTTTAAAAATAATTTCACATTTTTATTTTTATTTATTATTTTATTTGGGGGAGAGGTAATTGGGTTTTTATTTATTAATTTATTTTTTTAATTGAAGTGCAGTCAGTTACAATGTGTCAGTTTCTGGTGTATAGCCCAGTGTCCCAGTCATACATATGGAGGTACTGGGGATTGAACCCAGTGGCAGTTAATGCTTAAAAATGGTTAAAAAAACCCTTATGTTATGCATATTTAAAATCCCCAAATAATGGTTAAATTGTAAATTTAACGTCATGTATATTTTACCACAATAAACATTTTTTTAATTGGTAAATTTTAACAACTTCAATCTCCATTTCAACTGACAGCTTGTTTGGAGCCAATTATGAATTATGTGTACATCACAACAAATTTCAAACCACTTCTGCCCTAAAGGTTTTTAAATTTCATATGAACATTATTTTTATCAAAATATATATTCATCCCAATATTGTCACCACAGAAACAAATCATTTTCTTCATTGTCGAGATGTAATCTGAATTTGGAGTAGCATTCACCATACTGTGAGATATTTCACCTTTGAGAGAATGAACTTCTAAAAGTTTTGCCTTGATTTGTAAACTGGATTTTAAAAAAAATTTTTTTAGCTTCTTTTTAAGGAGTGAGTTTATCTGGTTTTCTATTTCAAACATCTAATAATGCTGATATAAAATTGGCATCCTGTAACTGTTTTCAGAGCTTTCTGCTAACAGAGCCACTGTGAAGAGCCACCTTTTCACTTTTTAAAAGTACACAAGAAAACTCAGAATTGATGAGTGAAATTAATTTACAAGAACTCTGATCTAAACGAAAACTCATTCTTCACAGAATGACGTGTAAATGTGCCACCTTCTGCGGCTGCATGGTTTTAAATCATCTTCTGGAACACGCTTCTTAAAATAAGTCTTAACCTTTACACAGTTTGTCTTCCAGCTTTCACGTGGTCAGTGTTATCACTGTGACCTCCCGTGGTGGATGGTAACCTGAACAGACATTTTATGCCGTCTCCTAGTTCATCATGAATCTTCTTGATAAACAAAAATATTTGATTTTTTTAAAATTAAGCATGCACTTACATTTTATCAAAATTCTTTTTTCCACAAAGGTTCACGGCAGAAGCCTTATAACACAGGTCCTCACTGGGCTCCTTGGTCTATAGATGGATTGACTGGAGCCCATTCTTACACTGTTTTTGCCCTCAGAAGTCCCAGGTCTCAGGTGGTACTTCATGCAGTGGTCTTAGTTTTAACTCTACTATATAAGGTCTTTGAGTTGGCCAAGGAATAGCCTTCTCTGAATCCTGGGAAGGGGACAGCCCCCAGCTTCCATGCACGGTCATCAGCCTGATTTCTGCTTCTGTCTGGCCCTTGTGGAGTTTCCTCACTTTCTTGTAAGCTCAAGTTTAAAAATAGATGTTTCTTCTCTGTAAAATGGAGCTGATAATACTGATAGTAATGTCAGTTCCACAGGGCTAATGGAATAGTATCTGGCAAATAATTACCACCATCAAAGTGTTAGATGTTATTAGCCTTTTATCAGTATTTCCAAATATTTATCATAGAAAGGTTTTTCAGAATTTTTAGTCCAGTACGTTATTTCATATGGAGCATGTTTGTACATTTCATAGCACTTACTATAAGTAATTTTTATATTAAATATATTTGTTTGGGTAGGCAGTTTACCACTGTACTTATTTATGTAACTGTTCCCTTCCTGAAACCACATAAAGGACATTTATGTATCTTAGAAAAGTGTGGTGTACATTTATAAATAAGTAAATTTTGTATTAGCTATGACTCAGCAGTTTTAAGCCTAAAATCAGCAAAGGAATCTTGCCACCAATCTTTCCTGACTGTAAGAAAATAGCACAAAATTTCGTTAACGAAATTTTATGAGATATTTCATTTTTATTGATTAAAAACATGATTTTCCGTGAATATACACATGAAAATACATTCAAATATTTGGACACTTTAAATATATATTTTGTATATGACTTCATCTGCTTGATATAAAGATATTACAAGTTCAAAGCAGCATTATACTTGCTAATAATTACCAATATTTTAATCTTGCTGTATGTTTTATCAGAATTTCTGGGATGCTTACCAACTAAACATATTAAGATTCTAGAAAATAAAAGATGACAACAGTCCCACTAAATAAAAGCAGTTTTGGGGGTAAGAAAGCTGTCTAGGAATATACAGCCAAACTACGTGTACATTTAAATTACAAAGTCTTTTTTTAGTTTAAACAATTCTTAAAATCTCCTTTCAAAAAGTATACCGATCATATTTTTAAAAAATATCTTAAATATATAAAACATACTTTTCTCCTTTTACCACACCCACCAAAGACAAAATCCCAGTGGAATGGAGAGTGGGTGTGGGGTACAGGTGTGAACACTGGCTCTGTGAAGGCTGGGTCTGAATTTCCTCTGAGGAAGGCAATTAGGGTAGAAACCTGAGGACTGCAGCCCATAGAACTGCAGCTTTGTAGAGCTTGCTGTGTAGGAATATAAACTTCATGTAATTTTTAAAGATCTTTTCCTGGCCAAAATGATAGATCATGATCATTACAGAATAGCTGGGAAATATACAAACACCCGCAGTCCTCCCACCTGGCGATACCTACTGGCAAGATATTCTGGTGTATGAATTACTTCCCGTCTTTCTAAGCATACAAAAATATAAACATATACATACAAAAATGTGATTATATTGTTTACAGAATTTCACATCTTGCTTTTCTAAATGGATAAAAATGGTTTTGCGTTGCTTTCCCCTCCCCTTATATGTTCTTCATAATTTTAACAGCCCAAAAAGATTTTCATTGAATGGTTATACCATAATGTAAAATAAAGACATTTAAATTTTATAGCTTTTTAAAGTTTTATCTTGTATAAATACAATTTGATTTTTTTTACAAAAGGTTTTATACAAAATAAAATATTAAAAGCCATGAAATTATAAATCTGTATCACATTGTTGACCACTGATGCCTCTCAGCCTGCTACTCAACTTGTGGTACATAATGTCTTTATGTTTTCATTACTCCTCAAAGGCTGAGAGGAGTCAACAAATTAGGCCCTGCGCAAGGATACTACATGCTGACGCTTCAGATCATACCCCAGGGTCCGTCTGAAAGTGACCGAGTCTGTAACGTCACACGTGGATAACTGGAGGTCTGCCTGTAAAGTCCACGTGTGGAACTCCTACAAGCTGTAAAACAGAGTTGATGGGTTTGTGGTCCAGCCTGTTTCTATCACGGTGTATAAAATGGATGCTGTTACCTAGGAGAGAATGAGAATACAAGGCAGAGGTTGACACACAGTGTTAGTCACTGGAGTTATTGCTTCCTAGAATCAAGGAAGCAATTCAAGTTGTAATTAGCCCAAAGGGAAAAATTAATTAGCTGAGTTCTCTATATAACGACATAATTTTTAATTAAGGTCATAAAGTATGACAAAAATTATGGTTAAATAAGGGTGATACTTAATGTTTTATGAGATCCAAGGCGAAAGATTCTTAAATTATAGCCGTCTGTAAGGTTTTATTAAATATAATTAAATAAAATGTCCTGTCAAACAGACCAGCAGAATATGGAACTAATGTAGATATCAAGCCGGAAAATCACATCTGCTTCTTACACGTGATAATGGACTAAATCGTGTCCTTAAAACAATTCACTCCCAGATACTGATTTAATAGGCCACCTGCATTATAAGCATAGACCAAAACAGGCTGAAAGCTAAGGGCATTAAGACAGTGTTACAGTACACTTAGATGTTCACAATCCTTTTATCTGTTCAAATAAAATCGTCATAATTTATAAGCTAAGGTTCTAACTCAAGATCAGAATTTTAACTGAAAACATTAAATTAAGTAAATATTATAAGAGGCATGTTTTCTGTATTATATTTATCTGATGTCTACAATAATCACTGTAGACTTAATATAGGCTGGCTTATTATCAAATAATGCAAAACGAAATACGGGGTTAACTATGATAATAGATCTGTATAAATAAGTACACCCAGCTCTTCCCTTAAAGGAGGTACAATTTTTCCAAAGGGTAGAATCAAAATATTCTCCTTATCAAGTATGTTCCCAGCTTGGCACACAAATGACATTCTCTATGTGCCGTTCATTCTTACACGAAAGAACGTGTGCTCAAATGATGCCGAAACTTGGAGATGAGGGACTCAAAAAAAACCCAAAAATAAAAACCACCACCTTATGATTGTGAGGATGGAAGTAATTCAGAAATATGGCTCAATGTCATTCAGGACTAATTTACAGAACTCATCCTAGTAAAACAAGACTTTTTTTTTTCTGCTTGTCTAACTAGTGTAAATTCATGAGAGACAGGGAAAGGATGATTAAAGAAAGTGACAGATTTTAGCTAGCTATAGTTTTCTAGCAACAAAAAGCTAAAAAGTCATAATACTTGGTCAAAATCCTCCTTCTAACGACATTTGGAATTTAGTAAAGTAAATGCTAATTTTATAACTCCTTTTTAGAAGCTGTGCTCACTAATGTGGACAGTTTTAAAGAGGAAGAACCACCAAGAGAAATCAGTTTATAACATAGTGATGTCGGCTTTTGGGCACTAATCATACGGGTGTTTGTCCATGACGGCAATACTTGAACACGGTGGAGATCCAACACCGAACCATGTAGCAGAGGGAAGCCAGAGGAATTTCAGGTGGCCCAAACTGATCAATAAAGCTATTTAAAGTTATTTAAAGTAACTGTTATTGAATAAGCTGTCCCTGGGGTTGACACACTGTCTGACACTGAGCAAGTATACTAGTAACTAGATTGATTCTTCTACTGACGGGGAAAAAAAAAAAGCGCTTGATGGTTTTCCATCAATGGGATTTGGAAATGTTCATTTCCACTGACCTTTTTAAAAAGAGTGTTATAACCAGATACAAGCCGCCAGACCACCACTAACTTTTCCTATCCCAAATATCTGAAATCGCTCAGGCATGGAATGATGGCCACATGCCATCCAGGAAACAGACATCAAAGACACACAGGAGCACGTGAAGACAAACAGCGTCCCCTAAGAAAGCAAACCGCTCGAACTGCGCCGTGAGGCTTACCCGGACCTAAGATGAGCGTCCCTCCTTGCTGAGCCGGATCACCTTGGAAATCAAAAAGGGGGCCAGTCACTGCCCGCCACAGGCTCCGAACGCTTCCTGAGAGTATATTTGACTTTATATGGGGGCTCTGTCCTGAAATATTAGATATTGTCTTTAGATGCTGTCGTTTTATATTTGATTAGCTATTAAGATAACAGTACTTCTAGAAAACAATCTCTTGCTTGTCTGTCATCTTATTTTCAACTTAATCTTTTTTCCTTCCTTCAAAGAACAGTTTTTCAGCCTTTCGCTCCTAATGTTTTAGACCAGATAATTCTTTGTCCTGTGCAATGTGCAGGGTGACTGCCCTCATCCTTGCTCTCTGTACTTACTAGATGTCACAGCACCCACCATTCACCAGACTGTGACAAGTCTCCAGACAACGCCAAACGTCCCTTGGGTGGGGGTTGCAAAATTGTCCCTGGTTGAGAACTGACTGCTTTATTTTTTTTAAACACTTTTATTGTGGGACGATTTCATTCGGTCAACTACTTCAGATGTACAATTTGATGAATTTTGATAGATGTACACACCCATGAAACCACTACCACAGTCAAGATAGCTAACATTTCCATCCCTCCCCAAGAGGTGCAAATCTCGAACTCCCAAATTATCCCCTCCCATTCCCTTGCCCCCCTGGTAACCATAAGTTTGTTCTCTATGTCTGTGAGTCTGTTTCTGTTTTGTAGATAAGTTCATTTGTGTCCTTTTTTTAAGATTCCACATAGAAGCAATACATGGCATTTTTCTTTCTCTTTCTGGCTTACTTCGCTTAGAATGGAGAATCCTGCTTTAAAGGAAGAAGTGATGACAGACCCAGATCATTTTCTGCCACAGAAAAATGTCAAACTGCAGACTTCTCACACTGGTCTTAATTCCCCATTTATATTTTGTTTAGCCTCTTAACAGGTAACAGCACTCCTTTTCAGGAGGCATTGTGGCACGGGCTGTTACATGCTGGTCAAAACCCATTTCCTCTTTCTGGGACCACAGCCAGACACTCCCCAGTCTTCCTGGCGGTTTGGTGTGGCCATGTGACTGTGCCCTACCCAGTGAGGAAAATGGTGTGTGCCACTTCCAGGGCACCTCCTAAAGCCCTCCCACAGACATTTCTCCACGCCCCTTCTACATCCCTAGGAGCCTTGGGCTGAGGATGGAAAAGCCACAAAAATGGAAGGAGCCGGGGTCTTTCCTACTGTGGCCCTGAGCTGCTGCTTGGAGAGGCACCCAATAGATAGATCCTTCTTGAAATGTAAGAGCAAAAGAACTAACCTTCTCCTGTGAGAATTCTGAGGTTCAGCTCTAACAACACTAACTACAGTGACCTCTCCATCTTTCCTTGGCTGTCAGTTTTTCTATTTCCTGTCTCACATGGACAGAACTTCACTTCTACTCCCTTTGAGTAAAGAAATTCAGTCTCTACCTTTCTCGTACTTACCTTTTTCTTATCTCTGCCTTTTATGTCTTTCTTTTAGCTTTTTATTTTGACGATTCTGCCGCCTTTGACCTGCTTGATTTAATATTTCCAGACACCTTCCATCTCTCCAACTCCTCGATTGCTTTCTTTAAAATTATTTTTTAATTTTTAAATTAATTAATTAATTCTATTTTATTTTTATCATATTTATATTAGAATGGACTTTCATCTTACCAAGAAACAAACACAGCCTCATTCAGTGAAACACGTGGGTAAAAGGACTAAAGTTTACTGTTCTCTAGGATTTTATGTCTAAAATAAATGTTCATAAATCCAAACCTTCTCCTTATGTCTGAAGAAGGGTCATTTAATATTTCTGGAGTTTTAAAAATTCAATTGAAGAAGATTCCACAACCTAGAATGAAACAATCTTTGCTCTATTAATTGTTCCATTAATTTTAAGTGACTACAGTTTCAGTGTCTTAATTTTCAAGTGGGATTATTCTGAGACTGATTCTGAATATATGCTGCTTCAGGTAGGAACTTTAGAAAATTATTTTGTTAGAGCCTAAAATTTTCTGTTTAGAAATCCAGTACTTTTAACACAGATCAAAGAAGCTTACAAGATTTGAATAGACCCACTCTTACAATTACAAGCTTAGATTCTGCTTCAAATTCGTCTGCTTTCTTTGCAATTCCGTATCTTTATGGAGGCAGTGAATGGTGAGGTGTCACTAAAGTGAAACTCACAGTTTATATCTCAAGTGATAAATGATAAACAGACCCAACACATGCCGAGACTCTGCTATACAGCACAGGAAAACAGTTAACCGAAGAGGAACGTTCACAATCTGTACTGTTGCAACTTCCTATACTAAAAAGAGCAGAGAGAAATGAGCAGACTCTGTATTTATGCCAGCTCATCATTAGTTTTAATAAAGTTTAGGCTGCTTTCTCTAAAAGCATCAGTAAAGGGTTCAGGTCAACTCTCTCTCATAAGTAGCTCCCCGATCTGTCCCTTCTTCTGCATCTCTACGGATATCGTGTCATTACCTTCCAGCAATACAATGACTGCAACCTTGTCAGGAGGATCAGTGGCTCCGTTTGGCTACATGCCTGGACCACTTCCTCACCTCAGATACTTGTAAGGCTCCCCCACTGCCTCCAGAACAAATCCAAACTCCCTGGCGTGTTCCCAGACTCAGTGTGAATCGGCCACAACCTGTCCCTTTGGCTCACACCAATCCCCCAGGTGGCTCCTAGACTCCGGCCGCACAAGGGGACCCGCACTTCTCCCAAGAGGCACATTTTTTTCATGCCTGTGTGCTTTTGGACCAGCTGTCTGTCAGCTGCACCATTCCCAGTCTCACTTCACCCAGCTAACTCTTTTAAGAGTGAACTTAAACACCATCTCTGAGAAGCCTTCCCAAAACTGGGCATTTCTGGTCTTACTGGTATTTCTTATATATATATATATTTGTATTGTTAAGTATACTCAGTTTAAGCATTTCTGCATTATAGGTCTTGCCAGTACACGCCCCCCTCTTTGACAAGCCCTAAACTGTAATGCAATCGACTGTTTGCGTCTGTCTCCCCGAGCAGATTATGAACAGCGGGACGACAGGGGCTGTGTCTGTTGCCACAGTCCTTCTAGGAGCATCCAACACAGTGGGCGCCACGGGTGCCATTCTCAACACTGGTTGAGAATAAGTGATTTGAGTTCGAACTGAGTTCTCTTACTTGGTATTTCAGAAGCCGAGTTCTTTCTACGTAAAACACATAGAAATAGTTTACCTAAAGCTTATAAACTCTTTTTTCTTCTTTTTTTTAGTTTTTTGGGGGGAGGATAATTAGGTTTATTTGCTTATGTATTTTGAGAGGCGATACTGGGGACTGAACCGAGGACCCTGTGCATACTAAGCATGCGCTCTACCACTCGAGCTATACCCTCCCCCCTTAAAAGTAATTATAAAGAATTGTGCTAAGGGGAGGGAATGTGGACCACATAAAGATGAATAAGACATCAAACTTTTCAACTAACTATACTGCTTGACCACCTTATGTGTAATAATAGAGTATAAAATACAAGGTGCTATTAAATACAATGAGGGAAACTATTGCTTCTGCTTGAAAAGCTATTAGGAGCCTCTTTGAGTTGGGCTTTAAATGAAAACTAAGATTTCATCCGTGAAAAAATACAGTATTCAAAGCCCAAGGTGTTGAGGTATGAAAATATATTAACTTCAGCAATACGATTTTTCTTTTAATTGCAAAACTAAATTTACTCATTGTAAAAAGTACAAAAGCCACTTTTCTCACTGTCATGCCTTGGGGTAAACATTGCAAAATCTTTTAAAATATTTTTCATTATACACACACACATACATACTATAGATCTTTCTGTTTGTGAAAATGGTTTTTATTTTCACAAAAATGGAATCATACTAAGGACACCATTCTGCAACTTGCTTTTTTCATTCATTTAGTACTTTACAAACAGCCTGCCACTCCATAACATGCGGGAAATGAATCTTTTTGAGTCTGGTGTATCTGGACTACTCACCAGAATCATAAAAAGCAGGCTAATTTATGAATTTACCACTTGTTCCCCTGTGCATATATGTATGTACGAAATGTGAAATACACCATTAGCGTCTTCTACTTGAGATATGTCATGTCTTACCTGAGGAGGCAATTTCTTCACCTCTTTTCATTCCCAATCTCTTATAAATTTCTCTCTCAGGATCAACATAGATTTCATGAGAATACCCAGTCAGTTTGCAGAAAGGCTGAAAAAAAAGAATAGTTGGAATTTTTATCAAAACAAATGACAGAAAACTAGTGATAACCTGACTTAATTTTAGCAAATTTACCTTATATTTAGCAGTTCAAATAATATAATTTTTGTCTGAAACAGATTTAATGTTAGCTTCCCAATTTGCTATATATTTACCTCAATATGATGGTAAGATGACTGTCCAATCACAATAAGAGTGACATTTGCTTCCTTTAGGAGAGAAAAAGGACGTGTACATATCATTAGAAATTACATTTCATTCAACTTCCCCTATCCAACTTTTTTGTTCCATTCTAATGCCACCTATAGGCTTCTAGAAGAATGGTATAAACAGCAAAATTTTGTGAGTCAAGGCAAAGAAATGTATGCTAAAACGTTCAATTAATTCAGATGATTCTTTTGTTAAGAATTTCAAAATAATATAGTCGATATTATTGACTCTAGGCTTCTCCCAACAGCTACGTTAAACAAGAATAAAAACTATTAACGTAGGGCTATTTAGTCAGACAATTTTACTCTTTCACATCTTAGTTGAGAAGGTCTGCTGAAAAGAGACCTTAGTTTTACAAAAACTACCCAATCAAAATTCATCAAATTGTACATCTGAAATATGTACAGGAACCACACCACGATAAAGGTGTTTTTGAAAATTAAATAATTTTTTAAAAAAAGCTCACCTGGAGAGAAACATCTATATGCCTGAAACACACACATACGTGATTGTCACAGGAATGTGGAACATGCATTCCGTTAACAATACAAATTTTCATCTTTAAGACGTTTCAGTATTTCCCTATAACGAACAACTATTTGGAGTGTTTTTATAAGAAAAATAAAAGGAAGAAAATACCAATAATTTCTAGCATTTCTGCTTTTGGTCATTATCAATCACCACTTGAGAACAGGCAGGTTATTTGCTAACATCAAAATTACTATTATGGTGAGCATGTTTATAATCAGGCAGAAATGAGCAGGAAAGAAACAGACCTCTAAAGCGTCTCTCCCACTTCTGGAGGTGTTGGAGAGATGTGCGGCATGGTGATAAACTGGGTTTGTGCCTGTGCTAAGGAGGAGGCGCACACCGCACCCCATCCCACTGCGCTCCTCATAAAAACGACAGGTGACTTTCACGGGGTCGCCCTGAAGCGGGGCACGCTGCTGCTCACCCTCAGAAAACTTACTTGCAAGAAACTCTTGGGAATTTTGGCCAGATCTTCTACATATTCCTTGCAGATGTAACACAGGAAATGCTGAAAATTCCAACATGGGCAAAGAGGACAAGTTAGCAACCAACACCTCGGAGTCCAGAAAGGACCAAGTACTTCATTATCCGTGACGCTAATTAACGCAACACCCAAGGCCGGTAGAAAAAGGTGTCAGGGGCGCCCAATCGGGCTCAGGAATTAGGCCGCTCCGGGTCCCTGCCAGGCCGCCTCGCTCGCGGAGAACACGGCCTAGGCTTGGCGGGCTGCTTGTCCGTTGCCGTTCACGGAGCGAGAGCAGCAGCGCGCTCTCCCGCAGCCTCTAGTGGACGACGATGGGAAGGGCCAGGCCTCCCGGGCTCCGCTCCCGGGCCACCCGATGGAATTCCGAGCCGAGGCCGCGGAAGCGACCTCCGTCCCAGCCTGCGGGGTGACGTCCCCCCGCTCCGGGCCGCCCCCGCCGCCCGCGCTCACCCGCACGAAG